TGTCGTTGGGTCGGCGGGGAGGTGAGTGGGAGAAGAAGGGAGAGAGAGAGGGTGGGGGAATGTGGAAGAAGAAGAAGGGTTTTTGATTTGGGGATTTTTGTGGGTTTTAGGGATTTGTAGGGGTTTAAGAATGGAGTGTTCCCTCGAGGTTTTAAGAAACACTCATGGCTTAGTGGTTGGGGACTTGGGTTTTCAAGTGGGAGGTCGTCCGCCTGCCAAGCTCCTGTCAGGGTCCCGTGAAGGACCCGTCAAGGTCACGTCAAGGACCCGTTAGGGTCCCATCAAGGTCCCGTTAGGGACCCGCGGGAAGGTGACTAGGAAGGGGGAATTTCTTCGTGAAAAACCCCTAGAATGCACAGGTTCAAGTCCCGGCAAGCCCTATGCCCGTGTGATCAATAAAAGGGTTTTGAATACATAGAGTGACTCATCGTACTGCGTCATTGATCCTTGAGTACGAGTTCTAGATGAGTTAGGGGCTCTCGTATGTCCTTTATGCTCAGTAGGTCGGGTCCGGTTTCTAATTAGCAACCTCGTCACCTTCACAGGGTAGTTGGTTATAAGCCAACTTTGTCTTTTCTTGTCTTGATTAATGGCAAGCCTTTTTGGTTTTTCTTGAAGTTTGATTTGTCACCTGGTCCCTGTTTAATCCTTTAGTAACCAAATGCTTAGTGATGCCTTTCTCTTCCTTGGAATGCATTTGATTGGATGCTATCGACGTCGCCTAGCGTTTTGCGATTTTGTGTGTTTCATGTACTTCTTACGGTGCCTTAAAACCATCAAGGTCCTCATTGCAGGGTGAGATCTTTATTGCAGGGAAGCCTTAGTTGTACGACACTCTTCATGCGTCTGTCGCTTCTTCCTGTCAAGCCGACTCATTTTCGACAATTTGCACCAAAGATTAAGAAAAGACTACTTCATTTCCTTGCATCCAATTGGTGACCTAGGTGGTTTCCCACTTCCGTTACTCCTTCTTCCGGGTCTTGTTCCTGAATTCCCCATTGTAGAAGTTGGACTCGGTGAAGATCAGCGGAGCTAGTGTAAGCTTTTACGGTTTAAGTCTTTCGAGTTTCGAAGTCGAGACCACTGTAGTTATCCATGTTTTAGGCGGAGGGATTCCGCGTACATGGTTGTCCTTTCATGTGCGGGGTAGAGACGTCCCTGTGACCAAGCCTTCAGGGTTTCCCAGTTGAATCCCGGTTCTCGCCTATAGGTAGGTCCTTCATGGATCCACCAAAGATCAGCCCCGTGTCTGAAGTAGAATGAGGCTATCTCTATGCGGCGTTCCCCCGGGCATTCCATTAACCCGAGGATTTTGTTGAGGGTTCGGATTTATTCTTCGAGGATCGCGGGGTACTCCTCCCCTGAGAAGGTGGGTGGCCGATGATTTGAAACTTGTCTAGTGAAATCCGAGTTACCGCTTGCTGGTGGTGGTGGTCCGTTGTTGTTATGGATGATTGCATTGCTTTAGTGTTTGGGCGACCTGAGTTTAGTCGTTGTAGATTCTAAGCTAGAGATTTGAGAGCGGAGGGATCAGGGGTCCTTGACTGACTTCTTGTTGGTGCCATGCTGATGGTTTTTCCGGGCCAATGTTTATTGTAATGACAAGTTAGAGTGTTGCACCCTTACCTTGATGCGGTAAGCGAAGGGGAGAGTTCTTTAAATTAGATGGAGGATAGAGTGAGTGGAAGTTATGTGGTGATAGGTAGGCCCACAATCTCACCGCGCGTCCTAAGATTCCTGAATCCTATGTTCCTAAATGTCTAGAGTTCAAGCCTAATGTCCAAAAGTCTGGTCTTAAGAGTCTTATCCTAGGGTCAAACTTAGGCTCTGATACCAACTGTAACACCCCAGATTTTCGAAACTTTTGAAACTTATATAATAAAGGTAAATTCTCATTAAATCCCAAAACATAATGTAGTAGAGTACGGGGTGCTATGCCACACCTGAGCTAGAGAACTCAGGCGCCCAGGCTAACTAACTAATATCCTCAATAATGTGAATACATAAGCATGGCACGCAGGCCGAAAGGGAAACTATCAACTCTACGCTCCAAATCTCTAGCGCGCTCCAGTGTCTACTCCTCTGTGCCTGAAAGCCAAATATATCTGTTCAGCGAGAGATGCTGGTAACCCACTCCAACGCGTGGAAATACATTATAGATATATATATATATATATATATATATATATATATATATATATATATATATATATATATATATATATATACGAAAACCATTTTGAAGCAGGAAGATATATACTTAAGAGACACTAGTTTTAAAACCAAGAATAGACTCGACAGATAGGGATAAGCACATTCGACAGTTATAATCAAGCATATAAAGATACTAGCATATATCCTATGGTCACAGATTCACTTCATCTCATTCATATCATCATTCCAATTCATATCCCATCACACACAAGCACACTTTGGTGTCGCCACAGGACCAATCGCATGCCCATACATGAGGGTCAGCGCATATAGCTCTGACACGGCCCCGCAGCACCCTGCCTCGTATCGCAATACGAAGGGGTCGATCGCAACCGACCAATGAACCGCAGCTCATCATAATGTTTGATCGCAACCAAACAGTGGACCGCAGCCCAAGAGTAGTCATCTGACCGCAGCCAGGAATATGAACCGCAACTCATGTAAAACGTTTGATCGCAACCAAATGGTGGACCGCAGCCCGAGAGTGTAATTCCGACCGCAGCCAGCTTCTGAATCGCAGCTCAGGAATAACCAATTTGATCGCAACCAAATTGGGGTAACATGCACACATAACACATAACAAGCACATGCAACCCATATTAACACATTGGGAAAGGGGGGGGAAACGTATAATGAAACCTATGCGTGGTCATCCACATACTAGGAATAATCCTAAGGGGTTCATACTTTTTTCACCTAGGCCAACGGGATACCAATTCCACTAGCATGCAACATATATACATATATAAGACTCGTTTATCCTACGAATGGTACCCGAAACATCAAACTAGACTTTATGCACGATAAACGGGGTCTGTTGGGACACCACGAGGGTCGGGGAAACATCAAACGGGGAAGCCGGAGTCCCGAGTTGGGATAATTTCCAGCGGGTAGCCGGTGGGTGGTGGACCACCCGCCGGCTGCCCGCCGGCGTCAGGTCTCCGGGCAGCGGGTGCCCGGCGGGCAGTCGCCTGCCTGCCGGCTGCCCGCTGCCGGCTACGTCTTTCTCGGGCAGTGGGTAGGTGGCGGGTCCCCCTACCCCCACCTACCCCCCACTGACTCTTTATCAAACTAAACGTCCCGGGATCCGTCGTGGAACCGGAAACCATGCTTAGACACTTTTAAACGCAATTGATAACACCACGTAGACAATTAACGGATCAAAAGCAAGAATCATATAGCACATATCCTATCATGACTTCTAAACATGATCAACACCCGAACATGCAAAATCCCACCCAATTATATCAAGAATAACACAATACATAATTCCCAATTTTAACCTAGGGCACTAATCATATTCAAATCAATAAAATCATAGTTCCTCTTTTAATCATCAAACATCAAGATTCATCAAGAACATCACATAATCATCAAGAATCTCTTATCATCATCAAGATCATCAAGATCACACATAGGATCATCTCAAAATCATCAAGAACTCATCATCAATATCATAAATGATTTAACAAGACACAAGTATAGAGAGGAGGCCAAAGAAGGTAATTATAGCAAGGAAAATAGGTTTTGTTGAGACATGGGTTACCTCTTAGCCTTAATTAATTTCCTTGCCTATGAAGGGTCTTTCTTTAAGGCTCTGTTTGGCAGAGATAAGCTAGGAGCTTATAGCTTATTTTAAGCTACTAATAAGCTATAAGCTCTGTTTGGTAATGTTCCCAAAATAAGCTCCTAGCTTAAAATAAGAGCTTATTTTGGAACGCTACTTTAGGTAGCGTTTCAAAATAAGCTCCTAGCTTCCTAACTTTTTTTCCATCTTTATCCTTATTATTTTAAAGAAATGACATTATTTACCCTTCCCAATTAAAACCTTTTTCTCTTCTCCTTTAATTTATCCGCAACTTTCACCGCAAATATTATTATTATTATTATTATTATTATTATTATTATTATTATTATTATTATTATTATTATTATTATTATTATTATTATTATTATTATTATTATTATTATTATTATTATTATCATCACCATCATCACCATCACCACCACCACCACCACCACCACCACCACCACCACCACCACCACCACAATTATTATTATTATTATTATTATTATTATTATTATTATTATTATCATTATTGTTATTATTATTATTATTATTATTATTATTATTATTGTTATTATTATTATTATTTGTAACAATATTGCTACTTCATTATGAGATACTAGATCATGATTATGCTAATAGTTTTATTTCAAAATGTTATTTTTTTTTAAAAGACAAAATGTTAAATTTTAATATGTAAACAAACTAATTTAAATTTTATGAACATTCAAAAAAAAAATTTTTTAATTTTATGAATATGTCCTTTTTAGTCTTTTTACATTTATCAGCTTATCAAAAAGCTAATTTTACCAAACACTTTCAATCATAACAGCTAGCCTAACAGCTCTTTAGTTTTCAGCTCCGAGCTTATAGCTTTTCAGCTTTCAGCTCCTAGTTTATAGCTTTTCAACTAGGTTTGCCAAACAGAGCCTAAGATTCCTTCTTTCTTGATTTCTCCTAGGGGGATTCTTGGAACTTCTTGTGTGGTGAGAGATTATTGTGGTGTGGGTTCTAGGTGCCTCCTATGCCCCCTATTTATATACCTAAGAGTCCCTAATCAGGGTTAGTTCTATTCCTTCTAGAACTAGGGGATTGGGTTTAGGGATAAGGGCCCATGAACTATGGTGGACCTTTTCTTAATTAATTATTGGAATTTAGTCTTTTCTTTTGGGTAATTGATTAAATGATTAATTGGTTTTAGGGACCGTAACACGGGGTGTTACAGCAGGACTCTCTTTAGAGAGGCCCAGACTGTAGTAGTGGGAGCATGCATATGTTGACACAATAGATTAACAGCATAAGATAGATCCGGACTAGTTATCGTAAGATACTGGAGAGCACCAGCAAAACTCCTGTATTGTGTTGGATCGGCATAGGGAACGGCCACGTTGTCTATGATTTTCGTAGAAGAGATAGGCGTGATTACTGGCTTGCAGTCCACCATGTCAGCACGTTTGAGAATATCCTTCATGTACCATTGTTGGGATAAAAGCATACCGCCAGATAATGGGACAGTTTCTTTTCCCAAGAAGAAAGAAGCCACACCCATATCACGAACTTTAAATTCAAGTGCTAATTTATCAATAAGAGCAGTAACACGATCTGAGTCAGAACGCATAATTAAAATGTCATCAACATACACCAAGAAATAAAGACGAATATTGTCATGAGAATAGATAAAAAGAGACACATCCATCTTAGAAGGCAAGAAGCCCACAGAGACAAGAAAATCATGTAGCCTTGTGAACCATGCACGTGGAGCCTGTTTGAGACCGTATAGAGATTTTTTAAGCAAACTTACATGATTAGGTAACGACGTATCCTCATAACCAAGTGCGTGTCGCATGTAAACAGTTTCAGCTAACTCGCCATTTAAAAAGGCGTTGTGAATATCCAACTGGCGAATAGACCACCCACGAGATACGGCTAAAGATAAGAGAAGACAAACCGTTGGGCTTAACCACAGGACTAAAGGTCTCAAAAAAGTCCTCTCCAGCAACCTGATTAAAACCCTTGGCTACTAACCTTGCTTTATGACAGTCTATTGAACCATCGGCCTTCCGTTTGGTTCTGAAAACCCACTTGCAACCAACAACATTCATACCTGGTTGAGATGGAACGAGACGCCACGTATGATTATGGACCAAGGCATTGAACTCCGCGTCCATTGCATCACGCCACTTAGGAAACTTAACCGCCTGAGAGTAACAGGTACGCTCAGGCAATATAGTGGAAATAGTGGTTAAGACAACATGTTTATGCGGGCCGGAGCTGCGAGTGTTCATGCTATGCGACCGAGGAGGCGGAGTAGCACGTCGAGGACGTCCACGCGGCCTGCCGCACTGTTCAACCTGCTGGTCTGAGACAGTCCGCTCACTCGATGCGGACTGCTCGTGACCGTGACCGGCATCACCGCCAGAAGCCGCCACGGGCTCGTGAATCTGCAGAGCGACATCAGTAACTGTGGTCGAGACATCACTTCCTTGGCCCGTCACAATTGGTGCAGTAGCCCACGGTTCGGAACGCGGTGTAGCTGCGAGGTAATAGGAGAAACAAAGGGAAACACAGTCTCATCGAATCGCACGTGGCGACAGATAAAAACCTTGTTAGTGTTAGTGTCCAAACAACGATAGCCACGATAAGACGGAGGATAGCCTAGAAAGACACAGAGAGATGAACGAAACTAGAGTTTATTGCAATTATAAGGACGTAGAACAGGAAAGCACAAACAGCCAAACACTCGCAAGTAAGAGTAGGACGGGGGAGATCGACGTAAACAGAAGTGAGGGGAATCATCAGACAGAACACGTGTAGGAATTTTATTAATTAGATACACAGCAGTTTCAAAAGCATATCCCAAAAACGATACGGGACAGATGCTTGAGCCATTAAAGACAGCCCTGTCTCAACAACATGACGATGTCTGCGTTCCACACGACCATTTTGCTCGTGAGTATACGCACAGGATTGCCTGTGGCGAATACCCAGCGAAGCAAGAGTGGAACCAAGCTTTTTATATTCGCCCGCTAAATCACATTGAAAGGAAATAATCTTGGGAGAAAAAGAACGTTCAACGTGTGATCAAAACTTATCAAATATAGCATACAAATCAGATTTAGCACGCATGGGATAATACCATATGTAACGAGTGTAATCATCCACAAACAACACAAAATATTTATAGCCATACGCAGAAAGTAATGGCACCGGGCCCCAAATATCTGAATAAATTAATTCCAAAGGATGCGTATACTAGTAGTTTCGACACGAGTAAAATGAAAACGAGAGGATTTTCCCAATTGAAAAGAGGAACAAACATTGGGAATATCACTATAATTATGTACCAATAAATGAAGACGTTAAAATTTTATGTAAGACTCGAGAATGAGGATGCCCCAACCGCATGTGCCAAACGTAAGAGGATCGCGCAGCAACAAACGCAACAGGAGCTGAGGAGGACGCAGGCCATGTGTAGAGACCTCCAGATGCATGTCCCTTAAAAAGAACATTCCTGGTCAAAATGTCCTTCACATAGAAACAAAGGGGGTGAAACTCAAAGAAAACATTATTGTCTTTTGCAAAACGCTGGACAGACAATAGAGAAGAAGAGAGACCAGGGACATGTAAAACATCATGTAACTTAAAAGACCTAGAATTAGTAGCTAACGAAGCGGAACCAACATTAACAATAGGCAAACTTGCCCCACTGCTGACTCGCAAAGTCTCCGGGCCATCATAACGTGTCGCAGAAGTCATCAAAGAAAAATCAAGCGTAGCATAATCTGTAGCACCAGTGTCAGGGAACCACTTATGACCGTTAGAATCACCATTGTCACCAGAGACGGCCACATTAGCCTGAAAACCCAGAACCCCTGAATAACGCCAAAAACAATTGGCTCCCGTGTGACCAAAACAGTTACAAATTTGACAAGGATGATCATAGCGCCAAAAACAATTGGCTCCTGTGTGACCAAAACGTTTACAAATTTGACAAGGATCATCATAGCGCCAAAAACAATTGACTCCCGTGTGACCAAAACGTTTACAAATTTGACACGGATCATCAATGTCACGTCGTTGGCTGGACCGCTTCTCATACAGTGTATCTTGGTTCGATGCCATCGGCTACTGCCTCGAAGCGAGGTGAGACATGGATGTTGGAAAGGAAAACCCTAGCTAACTGATACCATATGAGAATATAATTGTGTTGTATTCAATAATAATGTCTAAGAGTACAGTGAGCGAATATATAAAGATGCTAGATAGAATCCTAGTCTAACATGAATAATATAGTCCTAATCTAATATGAATAATATAATCCTAATAGATATTACATATTTACATCATGATGTTTAAGAAGTAAAAGTAAAATGTTACAACTAAATTAAATTTTCATATATATACATATTAATAATTTTTAATATAAAATTAGATGGTTTGACGAGTTAGCTAAAAATATTTGAGCACACCCCAACACCAAGCCTAACCATCTACCTGGATGGCTGCATCTAAACAACTAAATTAAACAATTTAGTGCTACCTCTTTTTCTAATCTTTTTTTTTTTTTGTCAAACCATGAAGTGTTCTGAACAGGTTAATTTACTAATAACCCAAAATGTTTTTACATAAAAATTTCATTTCTTTGTCTTCCTATGGAAACTTTTGTTTATATTTGGGTTTGCTATGTATTAAACTCTAAGAATATACTTACGCCCTCGGGGCAACTCCAACTCCGCCCCTTTAATTTGCGTGATGAATAGAAGCAAGTTTGAGTAGCGGCCGGAAACTAAATGGCTATTAATAACTATCTGCTGCGTGCTGCGGAGATGCAAGAACGAGGATATCCCCGTCTCGGATCACTGCAATGTCTTCAATCAACGCTCCGTCTTTGGCTAGAACTTTGTCCGCCGCAAAACCAAATTTATTGGCACCGATTTCCGTCAGCTCTTTCAAGGACCGCGGCAACAGGATCACCCTTCCTGCTTTTTCCCCACTTTCTGGGCAGGTGATGGTCACTCTGGGAGTACTTTGTTGATGACTTTTGAAACCGTATCCGGATGAAACCAGACCTATCTCCGGCCAGAAATAAGGTAATATTGTAAGACGAGGGGAGATAGATATTTTAATTTAATTTTGTTGGGCAGAGGGTTAAAAGAGTAAGTCCAACATCTAGTATATCGAAAATGTGTGGCATTTTATAAGGAAATAAAGTTGCGTCTTGGCTACTAGATATAGTTGTGCTGGAAGTAATTGTTATACCATGGACCAGGGTTCAGGGTTTATATAACATTGCGGGTCCTGATCCAAAAATTATGTGTTTGCAATTAATACCTTTTTGTACCTGCAGTTAACTGTACCTGTAAACCAATTGAAGATACATAATATGATAATTACAGACACATAAATTATTAACTGCAGATACATAATATGTTAATTGGAGACAGATAGCATGTTAACCAACATTTTGTGTCTGCAGTTAATATATTCTGTACATGTAGTTAATAATTTATGTGTCTATAGTTATAATGTTATGTGTTTGTAATTAACATGTGACGTGCCTTCAATTTGTTTACATGTACAGATACAGTAACTGCCAGAACCGAATCTAAAGATTATTTTTGAATCAGGGTTCATAATGTAACTATGTAAGGTAGACCTTGAACCATGGTATAATTTGCATGTTAGGATGGGATTATAGGCGGAGACGGGTGAAAAAGCCAAGCCAAGCACCTTGCTTATGAGAAAAGCCAAGCCTCGCACCTTGCCTATCGAAAATATGTGGCTGTCTATAAAAAAAATAGAGTTGCGTCATTGGCTACTAACTATAGCTTTTGGCCTAGTGGTAAGCCCTATCCAACAACGGGGTGGTGGACTTGACCTTTCAGTGGCCTCCGCCCAACAATTTTGAAATAAAGCTAAGAAGTTTTGATGATGGATCTGACCTCCATTAGGGGGAGTCTCAGCGGTTGACATGAAACCAATGAGAGAATTGCGATAATTGCAGGCCCTCCTCCTCCATTTAGTGTTGCTTAACGTGCCGGTGTCCCGGACATGCATCAGCGGCATCTCAACCGCGCACTGGATGGAAGGCTCGCTGGGGTACTTCTTGAGGTATGGGGCCTCAGATGGCATCTCAGAGAGAGCAACGGCGGCAGGTACCTTGCCGGAAACCTGCACCCTCGTCTTAAACAGCTGTCTGATCTCATTCTGCCCTTGATACTCCGCCAGCGCTCTCGGCGTCCACCCGTGAACGTCCGGCTTGTCAATGTCCGCCCCTTGCTCCACCAAGAACTTCACTATTTCCAAATTGTCCTCGGAAATGGCGGTGTGGAGGGCCGTGGTTCCCACGCTGTTGAGAAGGGTTATGTCCCCTCCGTGTTTGGCTAGGTCCTTGAGTAGCTCCAGGTCGCCCATCTCCACCGCTTGGCATGCGTACTGCCCAACATCGTTCGAGGATATGGCTCCACCGTTGTCTTCCAGTAGCTTTATCACGGTTTCGTGCTTCCCCATTATTGCGTCCCATAAGGGCACGGTGCCCTCCGAATCTGCACCCATCCATCCATACTTTAAAATTAACCAATTGTATATATTTGCAAATAATATTGTTCTCATTATGGTCTAAACTTATTTTATTCAAAGTGACAATGTTACATTAATTACATACCTTTTAGATTTGGGTCTGCTCCATATTCTAGAAGTAAAAGTGCACACTTGAGGTGTCCAAGCGAGGCTGCAATGTGCTGCAATGTAACATAATACCAAATGTGAATTGTCCTTTTGGCTTGAACTGGTTGGCTAGGGTGCGGGTACCTATATATGCTCAATGTGCATGCTGGCTTATAAGATTTCAATTCTTATATATGCCATGAATCAGAGTTCATATAGCATTGTGAACACTGGTCAAAAAATTATGTGTCTGCAGTTATTACATTTTATAAAAACAGTTAACAAGGGAAAATAATACTTTTCCCCTGTGTTATATACTTATAGCACGTTTTCTTCCTTGAATTATTCAAATGGTTGTTTTCCCCCTGAAATGTTAAATTGATATATGTACTCTTAAAATAAATATTTAAAATAAATATTTTATTTATTTTTCTTCTCCAACAAATTATGACAACAATTTGGTTCAAACCAAACAGACACTATAGCAACTAAACAGAAATATTCCAATTACAATTTAGAATCAAAACTCAATATTTAGAGTTTATTAAAATTGCGAACCGGAACAGCCAGTTCATGTTCCTAAATACTTTCTCAACCTACTGAAACACAAAGAACCAATAACACCTCCACTGAGGCTCGAACTCATAATCTTCCAAATGAAAGTCCAACCCGGGTACCATTAGACCACATAGTCCTGGTACATTTATTTTTTAATTTAGACTATTTTAAAATAAAAAATAAAATTTTAAAATAAAGACGGTTCAAAATCGCGAAACGGATCCGGAACCGCCAGTTCACGGTTCAGGATCCAGTTGTGTCGATTCATAATTTTAATAAACTGAAATCCAAATATTGGGTTCTGGATCTAAATCATAACTGGAAACTTTAATTCAATTGCTATAGTGTCCGGTTCAGTTTGAACTGAACCGTGGTTATCCCTACGTATACGCAATAATTTGTTGGAGAAGAAAAATAAATAAAATATTTACTTTAAGGGTAGAAATGTCAATTTAATATATCAGGGGAAAAATCGTCACTTTTAGAATAATTGAGGGGGCTAATGTGCTTACCTGAATAATTCAGGGGAAAAACTGCTATATATATATATATATATATATATATATAACTCAGGGGGGAAAAAGTGTCATTTTTCCCAGTTAACAATTTATGTATCTGTAAATAAATTGAAGGCACGTAACATGACAATTACAGACACATCATGTAACATGATAGCTACAAATTAAACACATAAATTGTTAACTGCAGGAACATAATATGTTAATTGCATAGACATCTCCAATTAACATATTCACACATAAATTGTTAACTGCAGGTATATCATATGTAATTGCATACACATCTTCAGTTAATATATTATGTACCTGCAACTAACAATTTATGTGGTTTGTGATGTGTTGTAATAATTACTCTCTGATGTGCCTTCAAGATACGGAAATAGTTAATTGTAAATACAGAATATGTTAAGTGCAAGTGTAGAATCTGAATGTTATTTTTTCAAGTGTAAACCCTGATCCATAGTATAATTTGTGGCCCAACTTTAATTTTGAAAGAGAGAGAATGTATTAGTTGTATGTATATTTAATTTAGGGCTTTGAATGCAAAAAAAAAAAAGGTACATACCAAAGCTGTGCGACCATTGTTGTCCAACTCATTGGGATCCATACTCCGTCTCAACAACTGATTCAACAACATGTCATCTCCTCGATTGGCCGCAAAACACAAGGTGAGTGGCATATCCATTCTTCCATGGGCCAACATGTTCTCCGTATCCGCTAATATCGATTCCATCATCGGATCCCTGCGGTCTTTCAAATGCTACATCTCCACAAACAACAACCCAATTTTTTTTGAATGTTTTAGCAACAAATTAAACTCAGACATAGGGATGACAATGGGTCGGGTGTGGATCGGAGAGGACTACATCCATCACCCGATCCATTTTATATTTTCTCTACCCACCCCTACTTCCAACCCGCATCAGATGGACTTTTTTAAAACACACTCTCACCCCTATCAGGTGGGGTACACACTACGGGTGGCAAATTAAGTTGTGGACTCATGTCCACAATGCATTGTGGACACGAGTCCAAAACAACGTCGTTTTAAGAGAAAACTCGGCCTCCCAGTTAAAAAAAAATTGATTTTGTCTCGGTGTTAACAGCGTTATTCGTTTGTGGCATTATGAATGTACAGTTATGAAATTATGAATGTACAGTTATGAAATTATGAATGTAAGTCATGGAATTATGAACACAGAGCTCTGACATTATGAACTTACAATTATGAACATATAGTGATAAAATGATGAACATAGAGCTCTAAAATTATGAACATAGAGGTTCGAAAATTATGAATTTACAGTTATTGAATTATGAATGTACAGTTACGGAATTATGAATGTACAGTTATGGAATTATGAACACAGAGCTCTGACATTATGAACTTACAATTATGAACATATAGTGATAAAATTATGAACATATACTCCTATAACAAAGTGGTCTAAATTTTTTTTTTTTTAAATGGAAGATAACGGTGCCACTAACGGCACCGATACCGTGTCCAGCATGCATGATGGACACGAGTCCATAGCATAACGATTGCACTACGGGTACCCACCATTTATAATCTTATTATTACTTTTTCAAAAAATAATATTTAAATTACCTACACATAATAAAGTAATAAAATTCATTAGTTATATAAAACATAAAATAATAGAAATATTTAAATATAATAACTAAATTGTTAATTTTTAAAAATAAACTTTTTTTTTTTGAAAATAAACTTAGTAGTTTAGATATAAAAATAGTAAAAATTTACATGAAATATAAAAAATTTTATAAATAACTACATGGTGGGTCGGGTGGGGTTCTAGGCAAGTTTTGTACCTAGAACCTGAATCCAACCCGACCCAACGCAGGTTTACTCTTTTAAAACCCACCCCGACTCCCGACCCATCACCCACTACAATTCAAAAAATCTCGATCCATGCGAGGTGGATTCGGGTGGATATCCACGGGATGGATTGAAATTGCTATCCCTACTCAGACGTGATCTTATGTACACTGACCTGAAGGAGATTGTTCATTATGATTGTGCCGTCGCCGACGTTTGCTTTGACGATGTTGAAGAAGGAACTGCGGTCCAAGCGGAGAAACTGGCTTAGTCTCTTTGTACGGACGGTAAACGGCTGTGGGCGGTAGCACAGGACTCCTATTTCCCCGCACACATCCCCTGCCTTCATTTCTGCGTAAACCTAATTATCATGTCCACTCTAGTCACAACTGTACTGTACATAATATTAGTAACACCGTACCATATATAATTACAAATTAAGCTTACTTTGTGCGTTCCGTTCCTATGTGATACAAGTTCCTGCCACAAAGATTACAACATTAATATATTAATAATAATAAACATTCATGATTAAATGTTTACATTTTCAGTTTTGTAAAATTGTGACAATTTTTGGTTTTCGAGATATAGAAACATAATAGTTAGTTATTTGGTTTAGAGTTCTGACGGCCGAGCTAAGTTATAAGCTCTGTTTGGTAATATTTTCAAAATAAGTTAGTAACTTAAAATAAGAACTTATTTTGAAACATACCTTAAGTACCTTTTTAAAAATAAGTGAGTAGTTTTTTAACTTTTTTCTATCTTTATCCTTATTATTTTACATTTAAAACTATTTAAACTTTATAAAAATGTCTTTTTTAGTTTTTATACATTTATCAACTTATCAAAAAAAACTAATTTTACCAAACACTTTTAAGCATAATCAACTCTTCCGTTTTCAGCTCCACCTTTCAGCTTTCTGCTACCTTTTCAACTAGGCTTGCCAAAAATAATTATGGTTATTTCATTTTAAATTAATATCTGCAAGTACTAAATTTTTCATAAAAATATATGAACATTTCCCATTTGTTAAAATATCAAAACTTTCACATTCTTACAAATTAAAGTTAAAGGGTATATTTTGAATATCGTAACAGTAAGGTACCAAAACAACTAATTACAATTATTTGAGAAATCAAAATAATTTTTTTTTCTAATAACACATGCAATTTTTTCAAACTCAAGAATCTTAGGATCATATCTATATCAATGTTGCAGAAGGCGCTACTTACTAGTCAAGCACCTAGGGGCGCTTAGATGGTGCCTAGGCAACAGAGTAATATGAGTATATCATTTTCATTTTTTTCACACAAGGATAGGAGTTGTTAAAATGTTATAATTTTCCAAACTAGTCAATTGTATGTTAGCTTATTAGTTGAGTTCATGGGTGGAAAAATATATAAGAGGAGTAACTGAGCAGGCTAAAAAAATCACTCCATCGAGTTGGGCACTATACTATCGTAGGCACCCAGTTGCCCAACTCGGTGCCTACGACGCCTAATCAGTCAATTAGTCAACCAGTCGACTAAAAGTCACCTACGACTAAAATTGCCCCGGAAATTGTTACAACATTGATCTATATCGGAAATTGTTACGTTGTTCCGAACATATGCATGTACAAAAATGCTTACCGCAGCCCCATTTACAAGAATGTACAAATCTGTTGGTGCTTCATTTTGTAATATGACTTCCTCTCTCGGAGGGAAGTATTCGGCTTTCATCTCAGACACCTGCAAATAACAACTATCATCTTCGACTTTTAATTGAGATAGAACGCATGATTTAATTTGATATTGGAGGTGAAGACAGAGATGCAAGCAAGATAAGGAAATGATGAATTTACCAATTGAAAGAGCAAGTCGTTTGATACTCCATGGAACAAGTAGGCCTTGTCAACTTGAGAATAGAAGAGGTAATTAGAAATACTGGATCTAATGGCCTTTGGGAGAGCGTCAAGTGTTTCTTGCTGCTGCAACCCTTCCGCGTCTGTTCTATACCTCAAGCACAGATGCGCTAACATCTGATCCTGCATCCGAACTGGCAGTTGATTTCTTTGAGCAAAACTCGACGCTGCTTGTATCGAATCGCGCTGCGCCACAAAATCAATTCATCTTTTATTATAATTATTAAGCCTATACTTCAAATTAACAATTGTTATGCCATGGACCAAGATTTCTATTACATTGTGAACATAGTTAACTTATGACTCACTTGTGTGACCATTATTAGCTATTCGATTTCGTTAAACAACCAGTATGATGTGTGTTTGATTAATTAGATTTTTTTTGTAACATCTTATTGCTCTAGATCGCTAAAATTCAAGAAGCTACTCAAAGCAATATTTTCGATCAACTTTTTGAGAAAGTCATTTTGGGAGTGTTTGATAAATTGTTGTTAATTAGTTGGTTGGGTTAGTGGGTTTGACTAGTTGATAACATTAGCTGATTGTATAAAGGTGCATGTGTTTGGTAAATTAGCTGTTAACTGATAGTTGATTGCTGCTTTGATAAGCTTTTTGAATTTTAGTATTTTCGAGCATTAAGTTGTTACACAAAACTAATTAATCAAACACCATATTGGCACTCATATTGGTTGTTTTACTAAGTCAAATAGCTAATAGTGGTCAAACAAGACAAAATAGGTTGATAGGTTAACTATTTTACCAAACCGGGCTTGCATGTAATTAGCTATCAGCTAACAGTTAATTTACCAAAACATCTTTCAATCGTTATGCTGTGAGGTGAACACGGCTCTATGTCCATAATTACTGAACTATTTGTTCATAATTATAAAGTTATATATTCATAATTTTTGAACTCCAATTCATATTCGTAATTATTGAACTCTATATTCACAATTACAGAACTCCATGTTCATAATTACTGGACTATATGCTCATAATTATAAAGCTATATATTCATAATTTTTGAACTTCATATTCACAATTATTGAATCTCTATATTCATAATTACAGAACTATATATTCATAATTATGTTCACAGCTCTCTGTTCATAATTATAAAACTCTATGTTCATAATTTTTGAACTATATATTCATAATTATGAACAGTTTTGAAACCGTGTCCACCTTGCAAGGTAGACACAGTTTTACAGCATAATTTGCCAACATCTTTCTACAATTAACTAATGCTATCAACTATTCAAACCCACTAACCTACCTAATCAGCTCACACCTATTTACCAAACACCCTTATATGACTGCAGTTAACACATGATAACTCCGGACACATAAATTGTTAATTGCAGCCTTGCAGGTACAAAATATGTTAACGGTAGATAGATAAGATGTTGGTTAACATTTAATAATTTATATGCATGTATCTATTATGTGTCTGTAATTATTATGTGAAGTGCCTTCAATTTATTTACTAGTACCGATTAATTGCAATTATAAAACCAATTGTGAATACAGAATTTGAATATTATTTTTGGATAATTTGCCTTTAACTAATTAGCAAATAACAAATGGAAGGAAATAGCAATTTAAGTTGAACTAAAACGTAACAACGAACTCACAAATTTCCTGGTTCTGCTGGTTACATGAACAACGAGGTTGGTCATGTTTCCAATGAGATATGACGTCAAGCCGAGGTTGAATAACATGTAGCCCATCACAAATATCATTTCAGATGTGTTAACAGCATGCAAATCTCCATAGCCAGTAGTTGTAAGAGTGGTGATAGACCAGTACAAGGATGTCACGTAATTTGACCAAATATTGTCATCTTCAAAGCCTTCCGGGATTAGTCCAAGCCATGTTTGTTTTGGATTATTTGGGTGCCGAATAGCTGAAAGATAGTATAAACAGGCAGCACAGTGGCTTGCAAACATGGTAACCTGCAAATTATACATCATTCTTACTTAACTCATCAAAAGATCAGGAAATTAAAATTAAATATTTTCAATTCAATTCATTCCTTCACATACATAAATTAAAAGATGACTTACGCTTATAAGCTTTAAAACCCGAACCCAGAAGTAGCTAAAGTTCCTATCCTTCTCCAATCTGCAAGAAGAGATGATTATTGTAACTAGTAAGTAGCACTTGTTTGGCGGAGGCCAATAAAGGGTCAAATATAATAATAGTGCCTAGAGAATTGTTGGGTGGATGTTAGTTAAAAGGTCAAGTCTGATCAATACCCAACCTCTCGAAAATGTGGTGATATAAAGAAATAAAGTTGTGTTTTTGCTACAAGTTAATGCTGGTAAGTTTTTAGGGAATTATTAGGAAAGACTAGTTAAAGGCCAAGTCCAGTAACTAGTGGCTAGAGAATTGTTGGACGGAGGTCGGTTAAGGCCCAATTACAACACCCTACCTCTGAAAAATGTGAATTAAGTTGGCTCTTTGTTACAAGTTAAGATTGGCCAGTAGTAAAAGAGGGAATTGTTAGTCTGAGACCGATTAAGGATTAAGTCCAACAACTGGTAAAGCAAGAAAATTGTTGGGTGAAAGATGGGCCAAGTAACAACTTGGCTACCAGCTATAGCTTTTGGTTTCGATCTATTGTATTAATGAGCACTTTACATACATACATATATACATACATACCGAGCAAACATTTTACTGGCTCTCCTAAGACGCCAGAGGCGAAGCATGTTGAAGTAGCCATACTCCTTAACAGAATCTGGCAAAATGCTGCGAGCCAGTTCAGAAGGCACCGTGGAAATGACGTCAAAAACCAACCAGGATTTGGCGTACCTCCAAGCAATCTTCCTCGGGTCGTCTACCATAAGATAAGTGGTCTTGTCAAGATACGCGACAAAGAACGTCAAGACGATGTCGATGGCGAAAAACCCGTTCACAACGTTGTCTAAGATGGACAGAACCCAGCCTGGGTACTCTAGGAACCCAAATTCAAAAGGAGACACCCACGCCGTGTAGAACACAAGAAGTACTAGATACGTGTCCCATGCCCTGCACTAGCCCACAACAAACAAACAAACACTTTTTCTTTTTCCATCTTTAATTTTACCATGTAGATCCAACTAAATACACTTCAACCAAGATAGCAAGAAATTCACACTTGTAATAAGGTCACTAGTATGAATCTTTACCCCTTGTCTTTTGCCGGTTAAGATAACAATGGCCTGTTTGGTAAAATAGTTAGCATATCAACCAATTTTCAATCATTAATGTGTGGACCGTGGTCCACACAAGTTGTATGGATCATATTTTGTATACTGTAAAATAATGTACATTCAGTACAAAAATAATGTACATTGTATTTAGGGATACACATTATTTTTGTACTGAGTGTACATTATATTGTATAATGTACATACAGTATAAAAATAATGTACATTTAGTATATTAAAAATGTACTTTTTGTTATGATCCACATAACATTATGTGGACCATGGTCTACACAATAATTTACCGTCAATTTTGACTTATTTGACCACTATTAATTGTTTGATTTGGTTAAAAAAAATCAATATAAGTGTTTGATTAATTAGCTTTTTGTAACCTCAAAATGGTAAAATTCAAAGATGGTAAAATTCAAAGAGTTGTTCAAAACAACTTTTTCAATTAAATTTTTGAGAAAAGAAATTATACAAAACAACTAATTTACCAAACACCTTTCTACAATCACTAATGTTATCAACTAGTTATATCATCTCGTTAACTCAATCAGCTAACTACTAACAGCCATTTACCAAACAGGTCAAGGTCAGATTTACTAACACTAAAATAAATAAATAAAAGAGTGGGACATACCTATAACGAGGATCAAAGGGAGAGATGATGAAGGGGTGAAAATTAATTTTGCGATTGCTACGAGCACCAAGAGAGGGAAGAATGCCGGCATTGATGCTATTGTGATGAGAGCTTCCTTCGTCCAAAGACGCTCTTTCTATCTCGTTTTCAATCTCTTTCATCCCACACATCTTCCTCTTCCATGACACTCTCCTAATAGCCATTTTTTGTTTTTTTTTTTTTTTTTGTTTTGTTTTGTTTTGTGTTTTTTTTTTTTTTTTTTTTGTGTTTAATTTGGAATATTCTACGTATTTTTTGTTTTTTCCTCGACTTTGCCCGACTGTTCAAACCGCCGGGCGCCGCCGCATTCCTCCTTCTGCCTTAGAATGTATGTACAGATCCGCCGCCCTTTGCCGACCTCCTACAATTTGTATATTACCCAAGAAAAGAAAAGAAAAGAAATTTGTCTTTTTTTTCTTTTTTGGGTTTGTTTTAGTTTTTTTTAGTGTCTCCGTTTATATATGCGAATTTATAGCGATGTTGTTTTGAAAGGTGGTATTGTATGGCAGTGGGTTAACCCATTATTGGTTATTGCATGACTCTCTCTCCTCTCACAGAAAAAGTCAGGTTGACAATTAAAAAGGCTGCCCACACTACCATCATAAATTAGGCAACTTAACTACAATATATGTGACTGTGATCTAGCATATCAGAGATTTTTCCTTTTCCACGCCCAATTAATTAAAGTAAGACCCAAATTTTAATTTTTGCAGATGGTATCTTGCCTACAAATGTTATCTCTTGAACGGTTTTCAATTTTGGTCTCACGAGTCACGACTATTGAATCATATTCACATTTGATCACTGACTATTAATTTATTTATTTTTTTCAATTTTGATCCCATAACTATTGGATTATATTTCACATTTGGATCTTGACTATTAGCTTTTTCGCATCTGATTCCATGACTTTTAAAATATTGCTACACATTTGGTCATTCGACCTAATTATCGGTCACCGTTGAACAAATCTTTTAGTTGAAAAGTTTTATGTAAAATTACAATTTTGTCCTTCAAGATAAAACACTTGACTATTATGTATGCACTCATATTCAGTAACACATAGCGAAGAATTTGGTTATCGGTTATGGAAATTAGGTTGGATTATTAAATGTGATGAAATTTTAAAAGTCATGGGACCAAATGTAAAAAAATAATAGTAACGGATCGAAAGTGGAAAAACAGAAAATAACAATTTCAAAAAATATTTTTTAAAAAAGAAATATCAGGAAACATACAAATATAAAATAAAAATATAAAGGTATATTTGTAAATATTTTGCTTAAATATTAATTATATTATTTACTAGTTTTATAAATAAAAGTAATGTACTAACTTATATCACTAATAAATAGTTTTTTTTTTTTTTTTTTTTTTCGAGAGTGACTAATAAGGAGTGGTAATGCTAAGCACCTTGTGCTTAAATGACACTTTTGTGGTTCTGAGGGAAGGTCACAGGATTGAATCCCGGTGGTGAGGTTTGACTCTTTGGACTGCAATAGATAGAGAAAATATAGAACAAATACTACCTTGCAATAGAGTCACTAGTATTAAAAAAATAAGGAGTGGTAATTGTAAGATTGGAAAGCATTTTTCGTAATAAAATAATACGGAGTACAAGTCTATTTCAAATAAAAAAAATAATGTTCAAATTCTAAAATATTTTTAAACTTAAATATTCTAAACTTTTTATATTTTCATTAATGTTTTTTTATTGAAAAATATAAACTCCAACTTGAGCTCATTAAAAACTATTCACGAAGTGAAGAATACCAACATCTTCTATACTAAAAAATCAGAGATGTCAATCTTAGCTAGAAATCGATGAACTGGCCGGATAAGATTAAAAAATTTTAGGATTAGGAACGAAAAATTTTAGTCCAATATGTCTAGTGGTTAGAATGAGCTAGCTTGAAATTTAGTGGGCTAGTCAAAGCCTGTTAGGTTATTCTTTGTTTCACAAGTGATATATATGAAACAAAATATACATAGTGTTTATATGCAAACTCATCTTTAATATTTTTATTAAATTTTTCAATGAAGTTTTAATAAATATGTTAATAAATTTATTACAAAATAAAATACTCCGTACTTTTTATGAAAATAAATAATGAAATAAAAAAAACACTTATTATATAGTTGTATTATAGTTGTATTATAGTTGTAGAAAAAGGTTTTTGAATTAGTAAATAATATAGAAATTAGAGAAGAGCACACAACCTTATATATACCTTATATATACATGCTACTATGCTAGAAGACCTTTAAGAATGAAAACATGATAAATTATTTTCTTATGACTACCTAGTCAAATCCCTATACATCTCCATGCTACCTAATATATATACATTCAATAACACTCCCCCTTAAGTTGAAGTAAAGATGTGGTACAGACTCATAATCCAATACAAGTTGATTATGAAGGCAATCAGAACTAGCTTAGCTAGGTTTCAAGAAAAATGCCAATATCCCTAAGGGGGCGTTTGGTTCAGGTTATATAACATAACCAAGGGAATGTGACATTCCAAAGCTTACATTCCTCTGTTTGGTTCATATTATCTCAGGGAATCTAACATTCCCAGGGAATGTAATTCCCATCAATTTCTAAGGTTATGTAAGATAACATTGGTTATGTTAGTTTATTACACACACACACACACACACACACACACACACACACACACACACACACACACACACACACACATATATATATATATATATATATATATATATATATATATATATATAAAATTATTTTTGTAATTATATATTTTTTATTTTTATTATGTTAGGTTAGCATATAAAATAATTTTGTTTCTCAAGTTCAAGATTTTAGTTAATATTTTAGAATCATGTAATTATATATGATACCATTATCTTATTTATTTATTTTAATTTTTAAATTTATTAAAATATATGAAAATATGTTAAAGGATATTATAGTGTGTGAATAAAAGATGACCCTAAATCAAACATGATTATATTACATACCCCAATTTTAACCAAACACAGGAATCTAACATTCCCAGTAATCTAACATTCCCAGCAATCTAACATTCCCTAAGATAATCTGACATTCCGTGAACCAAACGACCCCTAAGAATTATCAAAAGAATGCATTATCAAGAAACCAAGGAGGCTAATGGAGTAGCAAAAAACTTGCGGAAACAAAGGTAACAGGCAAAATGGCTCTACTAGAAGAAGTAACCAAAAGGAATGGGTTCCATCCGAAGGATTCATGATCAAGACTCCCGAAAGAATTCAACTCCTCCCCGAAGAACTCAAATTTTGCCAAAAGAACCTTTTACCTCAAGAAATGTCTCTAAACCAAATCTGAGGGAGTACGTAATGGTAGAACTCCAAGGAGAGGTTTTGGTAGAACTTTTCCATATGATTCTAAATTCTAATTGGAACATGACAAGCTTCATGCCTAGACCCAGACAAAGATTTACTAATGGAAATCAAAATGCCATACCTTCTCGATGTCATACCTTTACAAAGATTTCATTTTTTAATTTTTTAGAGAGTTTAAAGACTAATATGAAACTTAGGATTGAAGAGCTTATAAACTTTATGGGTAATTAATAATACTAAAAAAAATATTATAAATAATTGAATTGTAAATAATTATTTAAATTGAGATATTATTATATGAGAAGGTCATATGAGATGAAAAGTGTATTTGAGATTGAGATGGTGCAAAATTCGGGTGCAGTTCAAATCTAGCTTAGCTTTCTTGTGTGCTGGGTGCAGTGTTACACTCCTCCCAAGAACTGTTCCCTTCATTTTATTCTCTTTGGACCGGTGGCATTGATGAAAACAATTACGAATAGGATGTAAATGTTGTCAATATATAGCTCTGATGCTTTCTACAGTCTATGTGCAAAGTGGGCTTGTATATATACTTTCTTCTGGTAGGTGAGTGAATGTGCTCCAATTAACTCCACTTTATTTACTTTAAATGTTTTGATTACTTTTAGGTCTTGAATTTAGTACTAAACCCTAGGGCTAGGGGTGCTCCTGGTTTGTGAATCAACGGTCCGGTTCAAGAATCCAACCAGCTAATCAGCATGACAATCCTCTAAAGTTGAGTGCGTGTTTAATTTTTGATAAAGATTATATTCAAAGACTGAGCTACACTATAATTGATATGTGACACAACCTCAATATTACTTTCTAGAAAAATACTTACTTGGAATTCTCCAATTATTATTATTATTATTCACTACAAGCTAGAAAAATCACGAATCGCGACATAACGTAATCTGTTGTCGATTCGTGACGATTTTGTCGCAATTTTGTGTCAATGTGACGAAATTCAATTTCGTAGAGAATTTTGGCGCAAAGTGAGATAAAATCTGAGAAATTTTGGCGCCCACATTTTGGTGACAGATTTTGTGACAGAATTAAGTTATGTCATCACAACGGCGACGAAAAAGGCAACAATTGATGTTTCCGTCATGGTTTGCAACAAAATCAGCGATGAGAACAAATTCTGTTGCGATATTTTGCACAAAGTGGTAAATATTCACACGTAATTTTTGCAACAAGGAATTGACAGCGGAGGTTGACAAAGGAAATTTTTCCGCCGCGAAAGTATTTAATTTTTGAAGCAAAGTATATTTTTGCTACAGACTGGGACGACATAATCATTTTCGTGGTCAATATGTTGACACGTAGGCGACAAAAAATGCGACGGCCTACATGTCTATCATGCTATGGCAATAGAATCGGTAAAGAAAATAAATTATGTCGCAATGTTTGGCATAAAGGTAGATTTGAAGTTTCAGGTTGGTGACGGAACTTGCGACGATCATTCTTTTCGTCGCTAAGATATTTAATTTTTTAAGTAAAATTTATTTTTGCTACAGAATGAGATGACGTAATCAATTTCGTTGCCAATATGTTAACACATTGGCGACATAAAATGTGACGCCCTACATGTCTGTCATGCGATGGCGATGGAATTGACAACAGAAATTAATTTTATTGCAATGTTTGACAATAAGATATATTTGACATTTAAGGTTGACAACAAAACTTGCATGATCGTTCTTTTTGTCACTAAAATATTTAATTTTTTAAAGTAACATTATTTTCACTATAGAATGAGACGACATAATCAATTCTGTTCCCAAAAAGTTAACACTTTGGCGACAAAATATGTGACGCCTTACATGTCCGTCGCGAAATAGTGATGGAATCGGCAACGGAAATTAATTTTGTTGCAATGTTTGGCGCAAAGGTAGATTTGACGTTTGAAATTTGCAATGGAACTTGCGACGATTGTTGTTTCGTAGTTAAAATATTTTACTTTTTAAGTAAAGTTTTTTTTTTTTTTTTTTTTTTTTTTTTTTTTTTCACAAAATAATGAGAAAATGGAATCAATTCTATGTGACACCCTACATGTCCGTCGCGCTATGGCGATGGAATC